TTTATCACAAAGCCCAAAGGAACTGATAAGATGCTTATTGGCACAACCAACAAATTGCTGCTTCTAATATGGAACTGGCTGTGTACCTTTGATCCAGCCATGAAACCATGACATTTCCACGGAGGCCATCCAAAATAGAGGCTCTTTGAAGTCTGGGACTTTGGATCTGATCATCATTTAACCCAAAAGTTTCACATTAGTAGCAAGACAGAGCTGATCTTCTGCAGGGGTATAGCTTCAGATTAAAGATGAGTATTTTAACAAAATACATATCAGATTTTTTTTTTTTTCATGTATAGAATAAGGCATTTTTTATCATCTGTAAACTGTAGTTTTGCTATGTGAGTATGACAATCCTATCTTTATGTAAAAAAAGAAAATCCATCTTCTGCGTTCTGTTGCAGAATTTTCTTCAGAAGATTATTATTGATTAAATCATGAACTAGACATCCAAAGGAAATTTCAATTTCTATGGAAATTTAATACATCAATATTTTTTTAATTTTGAAAGTGTCAAAATATTAGCTGTTTTGACCAGTAAGCAAAAAGTGGAAAGACAATGTAGATCAGCCAAGATAAGTCATGTCTGAACTTGGTTTGTTTCCTGCAATGATAAACATAACTCTATTGCTATCTTTGTTCTTGAAAACATTGCTACAAATTGTTTACAATCGCTGCTTGACTTTCTCATCCATAGTGTATCAGTTACAGCAAGAAGCTCCTCGGCCCAGAAGGATTGTATCCACACAAGAGGTTTGTTTCTTTTGTTCTTAATTGTTTAATACTCGTCTTGTATTAAAAAAAAATCCATATACTCTATAACTGCCTTTCTCAACCAGGGTGCCTTGAGGTTTCTTCAGGGGTGCCTTGGCAAAATTTCTAAAAATTGCCCAAAACTTGTTTACAAGCCAACGGGTAGAACAAGCCTGCCTTTTAGTTACACAAAGCCACAGGTTTTCATTGTGAACCATTATGACCTTCTAGCCGCTGGCATCCTGACAACCAATGACATCATCAGTTGATAAGGAGGATGTTAGCTGCCTGCACAGAATCCTAGTTTGACCCTCGCCTGCCCCTCTGAATCAATGTTGGGTGTCCTACATGTGTGGATGTTGCTGCGTTATATAATACTATTAGAATAGTTTTTCATAATTTAGTTGTTCATAATTTAGAATGGGGTGCCTCCAGACTGTCCATAATTTAGAATGGGGTGCCTCAAGACTGTCCATAATTTTAAAGGGTGCTTTGACTGAAAAAAGGTTCAGAAAAACTGCTCTATAAGGATGCAGACCAGATAGTATTTCTGTAAAATAGTAAAGCAGGTGCTGTTACTTACCTCTTGCTAAAACCAACTTGATAGACTGCCGAAGTCATCTACATATATAAACAACGCACTTTATCACTGATCATTGGACAAATGAGCATGCTTTTATTAAGATGCCACTTCATCAGCATCCACTTTCCCAGGCAGCACACCAACAAATCATATTGTGCCTGCAACTGTTTTCAACATACAGTTTCTAAAGTATTACAATGTAGATGTAGAATCACTGTTGAATAAGGTGCAGTTTATTTATTTAAGAATAAAAACTATATAGACTTACCTATTATCACCAGCTGTCTTCAGTTCATACATTTTCATGGTCTTTGCATTTTTAGGGTCTGATTCGAAAGGCTGTGGGTTTGTATCAATGAAAAATACAGCTTGCTTTTGATATCAGTTTGAGATGCTTCTGAGATCATTCAGAATTCATTGACAGGTGCAATTGTTCTGCAGTTCAGCTCCTTCTTACCTGCATTTGATATGCATCAAGCTGCTTTTGCTTTCCCATAGACTTGTATGGGGAGAGAATCAGTTCTGATGTGAACAAAGGCCTTTGACACAAGTTCTTCAACAAAGTATTATTTTTGTGGTTGTAAACCATGTGACTTTACTTTTCCCTTCCTGTTTTCTGTTTCAGTGATTGTATTGATTTCTTTAAAGAAATGTTTTCAGAAAAAATTTGTGCAGACAGGGCATCAAGAATACAAACTCTATTGACATATACAGTACATCAAAACATTACTGGGATCTGTTAAGTCAGATGAGATGTCTAGGAGTAGACCCCATGTGCCCAAATGTTTGAATGGCTTCAATACAAGCCTTAAGCCTGTACACATGGTAAGTTTTTTTTTTCTTAAAAAAAAAAAAAATAAATAAAACTGAGCAGCTCGCAAGGAGGTCTCTGTACTCATTATTTGATGTTAGTACAGTGATCTCCCAGCTTGCTATTGTGTTCTGACAGAAGGACGGCCCCCCACCAGGACACACCAGTCAGTGCTCGCAGCCAGTGGCTGAGAGCGCTGAACAAATGCCAATCAGCTGCTGGTTTTGTAGCATGCACGTTTGACAGAAGCCGATCATGAGATCGGCTTCTTTCAAACAGGAACCTGTACATACGGGCCAAATGTTGGCCAGTATCTACTGTACTGGCTGATTTTGGCTGATATTCAGCCCTTGTGTATAGGGCTTAAAGATCAGATCCAACCACACTTATCACTTTATCCCTCCAGTTTTGCTTTTCATCTGTAACATGGCTTGCCTATTAACTGTCAGTAAGCATGTGCAAAAAATTTAAATTTCTTGTTTTTATTGGATGTACCTGCCTACTTGCAAGTCATGCACACAGTTGAGGAAATCCTTTAAAATAATTTCTTACATTGTGAAACACTCCAGTGTTCCACAGTAGGTTGAGTCCGCACTGAATATTCTGATTAGGGATGAGCTCAGGTGTCAGTCAGGGGTCAGTTTGGAGACCAGTAGGTATAGCAGTAGAGAGGTTCACATTGACCAGAGGGATAAGTACATGAGAAGGTCATCCTGGCAGAAAATGAGGCCAGCTCTGAGCACTAACCAGTCTTCACCAGAGCTCCTGATGGTAGAGATGGGTTTTGCATGCTAGATTCAGGTTGCAGTCCTCAGAATCACCCCACCAGGTGGTGAGCAGGCCGGGATCTGGTGGCAGATGCAGCAGGTAAGGAACAAGCAGAAACATAGCCAGTAAACAAGCCAGTATATTATTAATATACAGGATTTTATAGCGCCAACAGTTTGCGCAGTATTTTACAACATGAGGGCAGACGTACAGTTACGATACAATTCAGTACAGTGGGAATCAGAGGGCCCTGCTTGTTAGAACTTACAATCTAGGAGGAAGGGTCAAGTGATACAAAAGAAAATAGTTGTGGGGGATGAGCTGATGGAGAAAATAAAACTCCAGTTGTTAGGTGGGAGCAGAATAGGCTTCTCTGAAGAGAAGGGTTTTCAGGGATCGCCTAAAAGCAAACATCTTAGGAGATGTTTTCTTTTAGACGGGAGATAGTAGGAGATAGACAGATTTGGGGTAGAGCGTTCCATAGGATAGGAGAGGCTTGGGAAATGTCCTGGAGGTGAGTATGGGAGGAGATGAGGGAGCTAGAGAGCAGGAGGTCTTGGAAGGAAAGAAGAGAATGATTTAGAGTATTTAGAGACTAGGTTAGTGATGTAGCTGGGGGCTGAGTTGTGCGTGGCTTTTTAAGTAGTTGTAAGTATTTTGAATTTAATTCATTGTGAGTGAGCCAGTGGAGGGACTGGCAGGGAGGGGGGTAGCAGACACTGAACGGTTGGAAAGGTGGATGAGCCTGGCAGCAGCATTTATGATGGACTGAAGGTCTAGCCTATGTAAAGGTAATCCCATGAGGAGAGAGTTGCAGTAGTCGAGGCGATAGATGACCAGGGAGTGAACCGGGAGCTTTGTGGTGACATTTGTTAGAAAGGGACGTATTTTGGAGATGGTGCGGTGGTTGAGGCGGCAGGATTTGGACAGTGATTGAACTATCCTTCCGGCCCCATGTCCAGAGTCCAGGATTACGCCTAGAACCTTGGCATGTGGGGACGGGGAGATAGTTGTATCATCGATCTTGAGAGAGAATTCAGGGAAAGAGGCACGTGGGGGATGAAAAATTATGACAGTTTTGGACAGATTGAGTTTGAGAAAGTGTTGTGACATCCAGCTTGATAAGTCTGTTAGTAAATTAGTAATTCATGAGGAGACTGAAGGAGTGAGCTGAGGGGAAATGTTGATATTGTCAACATAGAGATGGTATTGGAAGTCATGAGAAGCTATCAGTAACTAGTAGCTATAACTATTTGTGAGTTTTAGGAGAGCAGTTTCTATGGAGTGTTGAGGGCGAACTCCAGGCTGAACGGGATCAAGAAGATTGTTCCTGTTGTGATCTCTCAGCCAGTTGTAGACCAAACAATCAAGGAGTTTGGATAAAAAGGGGAGTAAGGAGATGGGGTGTAGATTGTTAAGATTGGTGGGGCTTTTTAAGTATGGGGGTAACTAGTGCATGTTTTAGAGAGTTGGGGAAGATGCAAGAAGAATGGGAGAAATTTCAAGTTGTGACTTAGAGAGCGTAGGATAGAGACAGAGGGTGCCTATGGCATTTGCAACAGGGTCCAGGGGACAGGTGGTTAGGTGGATGTTAGAAAAAAAGTTTAGCAACCTTGTCTATAGTGATAGGGTTGAATGAGGGAAGTAAGGATCGTACCTGTGGACATGGAGTGTTAAGTGGAGAAGGAATCTGTACAGCAGAATATCAGTAACAAGTGGCTACAGGTTACGATCAAGCAGAAGCATAGTCTAGGAACAAGCCAAAGGTCGGTAACAAATGGTTGCAGGTAGGGATCAAGCAGAAATGTAGTCAAGGAACAAGCCAAAGTTCAATAACAAATGGTTGCAGGTTGGGCTCAAGTGGAAGCGCAGTCAGGGAACATGCCAACGGTTGGTAATGAGTGTGTCAGGGCTCCCAGGTGTGACCAGAGATGTGTGACTGACGCAGGGAAATGCAGACCTCAGATATGTTATAAACAATTTATTAACACTAACAATACAAACATAAACGCAGTGCAATACTAAAACATAATACAGTGCAAACAAACCAAACCAAACCACCCACAGATAACAGTACATACAAGCAAACGTCGTCAGGCAGGCCGGGTCAATATCAATAGGGCAGGTAGGTACAGGGGGAGCAAGCGGAGATTGGTCAGGGTCACAAGCCAGGGATCAGAACAGGTAGCAAGCAGCGTGGTACAGAGGGTCAGACAGAGGGATGGTCAGGAGCGAGCCGGGATCAGAGCAGGAGAAGTCAGCAGCGGTTCAGAAACAGGATACAGGGCCCAGGACAAACACAACACCAAGGCCCGAGTCTGTGGGTCTGGCCATCCCTTAAATACCCCAGCATAATCAGTTACAGGTGTTAGCTGGCTGCAAAGTTGAGTCTCTGATTGCTGGGAACACCCGCTGGCCAGCCCTGGTACTGCAGATCAAAAGGCAGGTGAGTCCCACCATAGCTGGCCAGTCCATTCCTGACAGTACCCCCCCCTCAAGGAGCGGCCTCAGGACGCTCCAAACAGTCCTAGCTGGGAAAAATGTTCCACCGCCCGGGTCTGATAACTGGCGGGATATCAAAGACTGGCACACCGGGCAGGACTCCGGGCAGCGGTACACCGGGCAGAGGCACATCGGGCTGGACTCCGGGCAGAGGCACATCGGGCTGGACTCCGGGCAGAGGCACATCGGGCTGGACTCCGGGCAGAGGCACATCGGGCTGGACTCCGGGCAGAGGCACATCGGGCTGGACTCCGGGCAGAGGCACATCGGGCTGGACTCCGGGCAGAGGCACATCGGGCTGGACTCCGGGCAGAGGCACATCGGGCTGGACTCCGGGCAGAGGCACATCGGGCTGGACTCAGGGCAGAGGCACACCGGGCTGGACTCAGGGCAGGAGGCACACCGGGCAGAGGCACACCGGGCTGGACTCCGGGGCAGGGCACATCGGGCACATCGGGCAGAGGCACATCGGGCTGGACTCCGGGCAGAGGCACATCGGGCTGGACTCCGGGCAGAGGCACATCGGGCAGGACTCCGGGCAGAGGCACATCGGGCAGGACTCCGGGCAGAGGCACATCGGGCAGGACTCCGGGCAGAGGCACATCGGGCAGGACTCCGGGGGCAGAGGCACATCGGGCAGGACTCCGGGCAGAGGCACATCGGGCAGGACTCCGGGCAGGACTCCGGGCAGAGGCACATCGGGCAGGACTCCGGGCAGAGGCAGCAGGCACATCGGGCAGGACTCCGGGCAGAGGCACATCGGGCAGGACTCCGGGCAGAGGCACATCGGGCTACCAGGTGAAGCAGCAGGCAGCGGGCCACCGGGCGGGGCGACAGGCACCGGGCCCCCGGGCGGGGCGACAGGCACCGGGCCCCCAGGCGGGGCGACAGGCACCGGGCCCCCAGGCGGGGCGACACGGGGCATCGGGACCCCCAGGCGGGCGGCGGGCGGGCGCCGGACCCCCAGGCGGAACTACAGGTCTCGGGCCCTCAGGCGGAGCGGGCGGGCGCCGGACCACCAGATGGAGCGACAGGTCTCGGGCCCTCAGGCGGCGGCGGGAGCGGGGGCGCCGGACCCCCAGATGGAGCGACAGGCCTCGGGCCCCCAGGCGGGGCGACACGGGCCCCGGGCCCCCAGGCGGGGCGACAGGCATCGGACCCCCAGGCGGGGCGACCCACAGGCATCGGACCCCCAGGCGGGGCGACAGGCATCGGACCCCCAGGCGGGGCGACAGGCATCGGGCCCCCAGGCGGGGCGACAGGCATCGGGCCCCCAGGGGGAGACAGGGCGGGCGCCGGACCCCCCATGCATGCGGAGCGGCCCGACCCCCAGGCGGAGCTACAGGTCTCGGGCCCTCAGGCGGGAGAGGCGGGCGCCGGACCCCCAGATGGAGCGACAGGTCTCGGGCCCTCAGGCGGAGCGGCGGGCGCCGGACCCCCAGATGGAGCGACAGGTCTCGGGCCCTCAGGCGGAGCAACAGGTCTCGGGCCCCCAGACGAAGCGGCGGGCACCGAGTCACCAGGCACGACAGTGGGCACCGAGTCGTCTGGCAAGACTGCGGGCACCGAGTCAACTGGCGGAACAGCGGGCATCGAGACTGGCGGAACAGGGGCACGAGTCGTCTGGCAAGACTGCGGGCACCGAGTCGTCTGGCAAGACTGCGGGCACCGAGTCGTCTGGCAAGACTGCGGGCACCGAGTCGTCTGGCAAGACTGCGGGCACAGAGTCGTCTGGCAAGACTGCGAGCACCGAGTCGTCTGGCAAGACTGCGGGCACCGAGTCGTCTGGCAAGACTGCGGGCACCGAGTCGTCTGGCGGAACAGCGGGCACCGAGTCAACTGGCAAACAGCGGGCACCGAGTCGTCTGGCAAGACTGCGGGACGAGTCGCTGGCAAGACTGCGGGCACCGAGTCGTCTGGCAAGACTGCGGGCACCGAGTCGTCTGGCAAGGACTGCGGGCACCGAGTCGTCTGGCAAGACTGCGGGCACCGAGTCGTCTGGCAAGACTGCGGGCACCGAGTCGTCTGGCAAGACTGCGGGCACCGAGTCGTCTGGCAAGACTGCGGGCACCGAGTCGTCTGGCGGAACAGCGGGCATCGAGTCAACAACTGGCGGAACAGCGGGCACCGAGTCGTCTGGCAAGACTGCGGGCACCGAGTCGTCTGGCAAGACTGCGGGCACCGAGTCGTCTGGCAAGACTGCGGGCACCGAGTCAACTGGCGGAACAGCGGGCACCGAGTCGTCTCGTCTGGCAAGACTGCGGGCACCGAGTCGTCTGGGCAAGACTGCGGGGCACCACCGAGTCGTCTGGCAAGACTGTGGGCACCGAGTCGTCTGGCAAGACTGCGGGCACCGAGTCGTCTGGCAAGACAGCGGGCACCGAGTCGTCTGGCAAAACTGCGGGCACCGAGTCAACTGGCGGAACAGCGGGCACGAGTCGTCACTGGCAAGACTGCGGGCACCGAGTCGTCTGGCAAGACTGCGGGGCACCGAGTCCTGGAGACTGCGGGCACAACACTGGTCGGCAAGACAAGCGGGCACCGAGTCGTCTGGCAAGACTGCGGGCACCGAGTCGTCTGGCAAGACTGCGGGCACCGAGTCGTCTGGCAAGACTGCGGGCACCGAGTCGTCTGGCAAGACGGCGGGCACCGAGTCGTCTGGCGGAACAGCGGCGGGCATCGAGTCAACTGGCAAGACTGCGGGCACCGAGTCGTCTGGCAAGACTGCGGGCACCGAGTCGTCTGGCAAGACTGCGGGCACCGAGTCGTCTGGCAAGACTGCGGGCACCGAGTCAACTGGCGGAACAGCGGGCACCGAGTCGTCTGGCAAGACTGCGGGCACCGAGTCGTCTGGCAAGACTGCGGGCACCGAGTCGTCTGGCAAGACTGCGGGCACCGAGTCGTCTGGCAAGACTGCGGGCACCGAGTCGTCTGGCAGGGCAAACAGCGGGCACCGAGTCGTCTGGCAAAACTGCGGGCACCGAGTCAACTGGCGGAACAGCTGCAGGCACAGAGTCGTCTGGCAAGACTGCGGGCACCGAGTCAACTGGCGGAAGGACTGCGGGCACGAGTCGTCTGGCAAGACTGCGGGCACCGAGTCGTCTGGGCAAGACTGCGGGCACCGAGTCAACTGGCGGAACAGCTGGGGCATCGAGTCGTCTGGCAAGACTGCGGGCACCGAGTCGGGACTGCGGGCACCGAGTCGTCTGGCAAGGCTGCGGGCACCGAGTCGACTGGCGGAACAGCGGGCACCGAGTCGTCTGGCAAGACAGTGGGCTCCGAGTCAACAGGCACGACAGTGGGCACCGGGTCATCAGGTATCGGATTGTCTGGCTCGACAGCGGGCATCGGGGGTCACCAGGTATGACAGCGGGGCACTGGGTCACCAGGCATCAGGTCATTTGGCTTGCCAGCGGGCACCGCGTCATCTGGCAAGGCAGTGGGCACCGGGTCACCAGGTATGACAGCGGGCTCTGAGTCAATTGGCATGACAGCGGGCACTGGATCAGGTATCGGATCATCTGGATCAACAGCGGGCATCGAGTCAACTGGCCTAATAGGATCGTCGGGCTGGATCAGTTCATCATGCTGAGTAGCGGCATTAGCTGAATGCAGGCATGAGGCAGGCATCAGGCTGAGGAAAGGCTGAGGAGAGGCTTCAGGCTGAGGAGAGGCTTCAGGCTGAGGAGAGGCTTCAGGCTGAGGAGAGGCTTCAGGCTGAGGAGAGGCATCCGGCTGAGGAGAGGCATCCGGCTGAGGAGAGGCATCCGGCTGAGGAGAGGCATCCGGCTGAGGCTCCGGCTGAAGAGAGGCATCCGGCTGAAGAGAGGCATCCGGCTGAAGAGAGGCATCCGGCTGAGAGAGGCTTCAGGCTGAGTAGAGGCTTCAGGCTGAGTAGAGGCTTCAGGCTGAGTAGAGGCTTCAGGCTGAGTCACGGAAGGCAGGTTCACCGGTTTGGATACTGGCAGGATGGTATTGGTTGGAAAGAATTTTCGCTTTTTTCTGGTTTTAACTACTGGAGCACTGCAAGTAAACGCAGGTCTGCAAACGAATGGAGCAGCTGGAGACAGAGAAAAACTGGAGGATGGAACAGGAGAGGGAGCAGTTGCTACAGAGGGCTTTTTTTACAGGGTTAAAGGCAGGATAGGTGCAGCGAGTGGGAACAGGGTACTGACATGCGGTAGATAGCCAAGTATACTGGGCTGTAACTGGAGGAGCTGGTGGGAATACAGGAGTAGAGAGTTAGAAGCAGGACTGGGTTTTTGTAAGCTGACTGAGGCTGGGTGCAACAAGTCTGTCCATGTCTGCAGTAGGGGTTGAACAAAGCTGAGCTTACACAAAGCCTGTCTGGTCAATGACTGCACTGCGTTTATACAATCTCTTAGTGTCTGTGGTGAACATGTGGAATAACGCTCCAGAAAGTAACCCACATCATCCTCTAATAACCACACCAGGGACTCTACCTGGTCTGCACTAAATGGTGGCAAAAATTCATCCCTGCATTCGGGGGAACCAGATGAAACCAACTCAACACAAACCTGAATCAATGGCTGCACCATAGAGAAATCTGTGCCCTGATCTACTAGAACATGAGCGAGCCGTATACATTCTAGCAGTTCATCCCGGGGATACTCCTTCAGAGTCTGATAAGCATACTCTCTGTCATCAAGCACTAGCAGAGATAAATACTCAACCTAATCCAGATCCATCCTTCCCATCAACAAGCCAAGATGGCTTCCCTGTGCAGCCACTTCTGGTCAGGATTGGCCTTGGTGTAATGTCAGGGCTCCCAGGTGTGACCAGAGATGTGTGACTGACGCAGGGAAACGCAGACCTCAGATATGTTATAAACAATATAATTTATTAACACTAACAATACAAACATAAACGCAGTGCAATACTAAAACATAATACAGTGCAAACAAACCAAACCAAACCACCCACAGATAACAGTACATACAAGCAAGCGTCGTCAGGCAGGCCGGGTCAATATCAATAGGGCAGGTAGGTACAGGGGGAGCAAGCGGAGATTGGTCAGGGTCACAAGCCAGGGATCAGAACAGGTAGCAAGCAGCGTGGTACAGAGGGTCAGACAGAGGGATGGTCAGGAGCGAGCCGGGATCAGAGCAGGAGAAGTCAGCAGCAGTTCAGAAACAGGATACAGGGCCCAGGACAAACACAACACCAAGGCCGAGTCTGTGGGTCTGGCCATCCCTTAAATACCCCAGCATAATCAGTTACAGGTGTTAGCTGGCTGCAAAGTTGAGTCTCTGATTGCTGGGAACACCCGCTGGCCAGCCCTGGTACTGCAGATCAAAAGGCAGGTGAGTCCCACCATAGCTGGCCAGTCCATTCCTGACAGAGTGGTAGTGCAGACACAGATTACAGCAGGAGTGAAAGGGGCAAGTTATTGGCTAGTGAGGAGCACAATAATCTGGCAAACAGGAAATGCAGAGACATGGTTTAGATAAGGAAGTTTATGGGAGGACCAAAGGGTTCAAGGTTTACCAGAAACAAGACACAAAGTTAGGTTGTCCAAGGAATCTGGCAGGGAGATGTTCAACATTTCAGGTGGCACAGCAAGAAGAAACACAGACACCACAGAGGTTCCAGTTTCAGATCTGGATTCTGATATCAAGCATGTTCAGTTCCTAGTCTGAGCCCACCAAGAAGATGTCACCTGTACTGGGCCAATCAGAACCGAGGCATTCCCCATTCTGAAGCCAACTGTATATACACCCATTGTGTAGATACGACTGGGGGGCAGGAATGCCCCATTCACAGATTATTGACCCAGTATAGGTGATAGCTTCCTGGCAGGCTCACTTTGGTGGGTTCAGACTAGAATTCCAACATGTCTGAGCTCATCTTTAACTATGCTATATGTTGCTGTAATAGAAGTATATACATTGATCAGGACCTGCAAGGCATATTCCAGATTCAGTCCTCATCACACTTCCAGCTGCTGTAATTCTTGGGGTTAATTAATCACCAAGACTTTGAAAACCAGTTGGGAACAGCTGCCGACCTTACTATAGCACTTTGATGAGTTCCTGCATTATATCCTGAGGAGTTGTATTTGCATTTCATAATTATAAAGTATCTCGAGGATTGCACATCAAAGACACTGCATTGCAGAAAACTTTCATTTACCACACAAGGGCCATAAGGATGTCTACACACAGAGATGATGGAAGACAAAGTTGTCGTTTAAATTGTTGAATTGGCATTCTATTCCAAATCTAAATTTGTAGAGGCATCTGTAATTGTATGTTAGATGCTTGTTTTCAAAACAGATTTTTTTTTTAACATTCACAGAAAAGGTCAAATTCATATTTTCATGTCTATGGAAATTCCTGCTAGTGTAAGTCTCTAGAGATGGTAAGCAAGTTCAGAAATCTAAATGTAATATTTACTCAATATTTGCATACAGGTGTTCAGTATGAAAATCAAAAATTGCTACCCACTAAAGTGAAACAGCAAATATAAAACTCAGCCTTTAAGGTAGTTATGTATCAACAAAACTAAATTAAAAGAGAATCCCAGAAATTATATTTTGGGTCTAATTGCATTGGTCTAGCTTGGCTTGATGTAAGTATGCAGCATATCTGACATTCAGAGAGCCACTGAGGAAGTTGTAAATTACTGTACTAGTTAGTGCTACATGCAACAAGAGCTGTGATCTGTCCTGTTCTGTGTGAACAGCTTCTCTGCGTGTAACACCTTGTATTTTTTAATCTAATTGGATGAGATGGAGAGGCGGGACAATAACTTTACAATCTCCAGTCGTCCAATCACGGCATACCTTGCAAAAATACAAGGCGTATTATAATTGGCAGAAATATACAGTTAAAGACCTCTTGTGGTCATTGTTTAGAGGGGAAGCTGCTTGCACAGAACCTGGAAGATCACAGCTCTCACTGTATATAGCATGGCATATTATGTTGATTTACAGTGTCCCCAGCCGGCCTCCAGATATCTGTAAGTCAGGGGCGGACTGACAACTCATGGGGCCCCCGGGCAATAGGGGATCATGGGGCCCCTGTGTCCTTGCCCAAACTCAAAAAAGCCTATGAAAAAGGTACCAGGGGCATCTCATGGGGCCCCCTACTGACCCCGGGCCCTTGGGCAGTGGCCGAGTTTCCATATGGTCAGTCCGCCCCTGCTGTAAGTATTTAAGTATGTCAACCATTTAATTCCTGGAGTTTAGCGTTAAACATGTTTTAAATTACTATATAAATGACAGAGATCTTTCTTTACACTATCATTCCAGAGTCCCTTAACTGCAAATCCGTTTAATTGTCTTCTCAGTCTAATATGTTTTCAGACACTGGGAGCTGAAAGAGGAGGGCTTTGAGGAGCTTACAGAAGAAGATGGGCACAAAGTTGAGCTCAGCAGAAATTTCAGCACATATATCTGTCATAAATAGGCGTTGCTATGCTTGTTATACAATTTTCACATCTGAAAATGTAATGTATCATACTCTAAACAATTTCTACATCATGCCTTAAAGTACCTGCCATGTACTAAACCTGTAATTTCAACATAACTCCTTAAACAAACCCTAAGGCTGAGGCCAAAACTTTACTAATACAGCTGTAGCACCAACCCCCAAAGGAGCCGCTGATGACTTTGGGTTCTCTATTCCGTGCCTCAACTCCAAGAACAATATCGGACCCCCCCCCTCCCCAATACAGCTGGTTGAATAGGAATACTGCAAACACAAATGCAAGAGACTTTCAAAAGAATAGCTTTACTAGTGATGATTAAGTCAGCAGGAAACAGACAAAGAGGGTTAGTTGTGTCTTGCAAAATATAGCATCAAACAAAGTCACAATGATAGCAATAGAAATGACCATGTAATTAGGCTTAAATGCAGGACCAACAAATCCTAAAATCTATGATTCCAGGAACAAGAGGGGGGAAGAGGAGACCTTTAGTTTGTCAGCTCCTTCTAAGTCCTGCCGCCACAGGCAAAGAAAACAATAAAGCAAAATTTTTGAAACCTAGGTAGGAGTTCCCCCTTGAAGTAAACAAATGCTACATCAACAATAAAAATAGGATAGTCAGTGACAGACTCTGTAGACTGAATCTTTTGAATGGAGAAATCCTGGAAGTAAATGAATCCTTGGTCTTCAGCTAGCTTATGGTGAAGCCCAAAGGTATCACTGTGCAATAGCAACTAGCAGAGTGAATGGGCTAACAAAAGGTATCCACCAACAGAAACCTTTAAGTAGGTAGATAGAGTGATAACGGTGTCTGCATGCAGTGTCTATACTGTGTAAGGGAAAATGTTGGGCTTGCACCTGCTCACCAGACCCATGGGAGATAACACAACTGAAATCCACTCTGGAGAGTCAGGATCCTGGGAGAGTAGAGTGGCTTGGGGTTGGCTCCTGACAACCAAAGTGCCCAGCATCAGTTGACTTGGTTTCCAGAGGTTACTGCGGCCCCTGGAACATTGAAAGTCACATGGTAGTACTGAGTAATGCTGGACTGCCAAGTAGGTTTACTGTGCTGGACGGTGGAGCCACGGCCTGGTTTTGAAAGGGAAAAAAATATGCTTTCCTCCATCAGCCTCCAATTCTTTGCAGGGGATTATATCGACCTTCCCAGGATGCCCTTCAGTTTTCCTTTCCTCTGGTAAATGTAGTCCAGACAATGCTGAAGAATAAAGTGTGTCTAGGCGATGGGACTCAAGGTCCCAAGATCATCTCCTTCTCAGACCCACTTTCCACTGTCAGCAGGAAATTATGTGTTTAGCTGAACACTAGTGGGGAAGAAAGGGAATCTCAGTCTGTGCATCAGATGTCCCTGAATTGCAGAAGAACCCAGCCTGAACCTGGCTGCAAACACAATCATGTCAATATTAGCTTTCACAGTACTATAATATTAAAATGTCATGTGATTAAAATTGTCACTTATTTACAGTACTCCAAATTATTAGCACTAGAAAACATCTAGGCAAAAAAAATGATCTACAATGAGCAGGCAGGTGACACAGAAAGCTATAAAATTCCAGCAGGGACTAGGGGTGTTACTATTTTGTCTATGCAGTGTGTAGGGTACACATATTGTGGTTTGAGTGATTGTTTTCATATAGACCAGCCTTCCCAGTCTTTTTACCCTGTAGAGACCCTTTAAATAATTTCCAAGTCTTGGGGAACCCCAGCTGAAACTAAATAATTGAGATCAGAGGGAAGACTGTTCCTTGCATTGGTGGTCGGTGGGGAAGAATGCCCCTTTCACAGTAATACTCAGAATGCCATCCTTACAGATAGCTAAAAAGATAAAGCAGATTGACAACAATTATCTTTTTAAGCTGTCTGTGATGGTGGCATTCTAACCACCACTGTAAAGGGGCATTTGTCCCACTGACCCCCTAAGTAGGGTTGCCACCTCATCCCCTTAAAACCAAACACATTATTTACACAGGTTCTGTGGCTGGTTAAGGGGGTAACTAAACTCACCTAGTGCCTTATCTGCATTAAATTGGCCTCAGAAACTGTGTAAATAATGTGTTTGGTTTTAAAGGGATGAGGTGGCAACCCTACTCCCAGGTAACTGATTTTGCAGAGGTTCCCTGAAACCTGAAAATATTATAGGGTTGCTCTAGGGTAAAATGATTGATATAGGTTGCTTTAGGAGCTAAATAACACAAGGCATTTTTTATTTTTTCCAAGTTACTGAGAAATGTAACCACTTCTGGCAGCCACCTGAATAGACTAGCATTACATTGGAGATTTTTATAAGCTCATTTCAGCTGCTATAATGACTAGTGATTATTCATTAGGTGTAGTAAATGAAACCAATGGTAAGAAGGTAAGAAAAAACAATGGTAAGAAGGTAAGAAAGAAAGTAACGTGTAGTAGCAATCAATCTCACGTGATTGCATAGTGCTCCTTTCGTGTGCAATTGATTGAACAAGATGCTGCTACATGCTGCTTGTGTAGCTTTCTTCATAAGGAGCCATTTGTACCATTTGTTTAGCAGTATTTTGCTGCTCCCAATGATTGCTTTCTAGTGATGTTAGTAGCCGGGTTGAGCTCTAATCTAATGAAGTGATGGCAGCATATGGATTATTCTCTGAGTAGCAAGAGATTAAAATAGTCCATGTAGTTCTAGTCTCTACTGTGTTGTACTCCGATGGCTGGACATGGTTGTCATGCGTCTTCTTTCTGGGAAAAAAAACTGACACAGCAACTGCAGCAGAACATTTTTGCCTTTTATCACATTTACTGTCAAGCTTTAGCGTTCACTGGCTCAGAGCAGTCAGGACAAGGAATGATGGAAGCTGATTGATTACTTTTTGCTTTACTTAATAGGACTGCCAGGTTTCCTCTGCAACATCAAGTCAGCAAAAACAGTCATTCTGTGTATGAG